TCTTACATTTGACAAGTGTGCAGGTGGGTACGAGTATATATTAGTTGTTATAGATCATTTTCTCCCAGATTCGCCCAAGCTTACGCCACAACATCCAAGTCAGCGAAAACAGTGGCAGATAAACTGTTTAATGATTACGCATTAAGGTTCGGGTTTCCTCAACGTATTCACCACGATCAAGGAGGTGAATTCCAAAACCAGCTCCTGGCACAATTGAAAAAGACATCTGGAGTACTAGGCTCGCGAACAACGCCATACCATCCTCAAGGTAATGGGCAGGTTGAGCGTTTTAACCGCACACTCCTACAGATGCTGAGAACGCTCACAGAGAAGGAGAAATCAAACTGGAAAGACTCAGTGAACAAATTAGTTTTCTCATACAACTGTACGAGGTGTGAAGTTACTGGCTTTTCCCCCTTTTATCTCCTCTTTGGGAGGACCCCAAGGCTGCCAGTCGACATACTATTCCGTCTGACACCAGAAACCGGCACGCCCTGATCACAGAGAGTACATGAGAAAGTGGCGCGAAGGAATGCAAGAAGCCTACGAGATAACAAGGAACAATGCAAGAAAATCTGCTGAAAGAGGGAAAAGAAACCATGATTGCAAAATAAAGAGCTCAGAGTTGGAAGCAGGAGACCGTGTTCTGGTCAGAAACTTGACCCCTAGAGGAGGAACTGGCAAGCTCCGCAGCCATTGGGAGGACACGATCCACAAGGTTGTACGACGTGTAAACAAGGATGCTCCAGTGTACGAAGTTGTTCCAGAGCAAGGAAAAGGAAGAGATAGCAGGATCCTGCACCGCAACTTGTTGCTCCCATGTGACCATTTACCCTTGAAGTCCCTCTCAAAATTGCTAGGCCGAAGGCAAAACTTTCAAAGCAGACAAATGTACAGGAAACTAATAGCCACCAGAATGACAGCGATGAGGACTCGGAGGATGAATGGTTCTATTACCCACCCCCACAGCCCCTTCTGAACGGGACATGTGATGCTCCACAGACATGTGATGAGGAGGAACCCACCTATCAGCTAGCAGACACTGAGCCCACTAGAGCACATGATGGACAAGGGCAGGAACATGACAATGTGCTGCAGCTTGAGGATGAACAAGGGCCGGAACATGACAGGGTGCTGCAGTTTGAGGAGGAAACAGGGCGGGATTGATACACATGGCAGAGATGAGGCACTTGAGGAGCTGGAGACTCTTGGAGACAGCCTTGTACTGCCACCTATGTCACCTTTCCCATGTGAAAGTCACAGTGAGAATGTACAAGTCCAAGACCGGCCAAGGAGAGGACGACGACCCCCAAAGCGATTCACCTACGATGAACTTGGTTTTCCAGTTTGTTACAGCCTAGGACTCCCAGCCAGGCCCACATACAGATGTGATCCTGCGCAACACTATGGACCCCACCAACCCAGAGCGCTGTGGCCAGATCCTGATCAGATCCCCACCTATCACCCTGTTTTCTTGTATGGGTGATTTAAAAAAAAAAAAAACATTTGATGGACAGTTTCATACCCACACACATTCATGGACCCTTTTATGGACCCTTGGGACATTGAACACATACACCTACACTTCAGAACTGTTCCACAAATGGAACATGCCCAGACACACTCACACACTTGTGACTCTGAAGAAAAACACATAAACGCATTCACAATGGACTGTTCCAACAATTGTGATCCAAGACACACTCTATTGAAAAAAAACACACGAACTTTGAGATGGCCAAATGCCTCTATATGGACTGTGTACGGTTGCATTGCATGCACTACTGCTAATTGGACTACTTTAATATTTGAATGTCGAGGACGACATTTGTGTTGAAGGGGAGTGTGTAATGGTTATGAGAATGTGTACAGCCAGAAAAGTTCATTATATGTAATTTTGTATGTTAAAAAGAGGAAAATAAGCAATTTGCTTTAATTCAGAGAAGTACTTAAAAAAGAGTGAAGAAAACATCATAATTCATGCCCATATATGGAATGTTGGTAAGAGTAATAACACTGTGATTTCCTGATTGAATGATCTATTAGCGATTATTTTGGTCTTCAAGTTAAAGAGTCATCAGATGATGCATTAGCACAATAACATGCCAAAAATGGTATTATTTAAAAGTTACTCTGTTCATTTATTTTTGCACCTTGTTTTCACGTGGTTGCTATTCAAAGTTTGTGTTTAAGAGTTCGCCTGGTGATCGGGAATCGGTTAATTATGCCTGATGTATCACACGGGAAGCGTGTTGCGTCAGCTCGTCCATTATTACACTGGACGTGATAGAAGAAACACCGTGTCCTGTGTCTTATTATTCATTATTCCCCTTTTCCAGGTAAAATCTCTTTATTAATGCATTTTATGTCTGTATTTATGTCCCCTGTAGCCTAAGAAAGCTAGAAGTCAAATTTGTCTGTATAATTGTTATTACTTTGAGTAAGTGCTGCTTAACGTTAGCTCTATTAGTTAGTTAGCTAGCTGCATCACGTGGTGTACATCGCATGGCGGGAATATACAACTATACGGTTCATGTGCAGTGTTCAGCACTTAAAGAGAAGATGTGTTTAATGAGAAATAACTGGGATATGTTATATTACTTCGTGTATTTGAGAAGAGTGATGTTAATCGCTAAACCATCAATGTGGTTATAGGTGTGTTAAACATTAGGATAATTAAATTCATGTGTGTTAATTAGTCTGTTCAACTTTTATATAAGAGGGATAATACAGCCTGTCCCACGTATTTAAGGGAACCAGTTGCATTACTTTGCATTGATATTTTGTCAGTGAGTGTAAAGTGTTTATTTGGTGCTGATTTTGCATTTAGTGATAACTGTGTAACATTATTGTTGAATTATTGTTCTCGTAAAAGAAATGCATTATTACACTGGACGTGATAGAAGAAACACCGTGTCCTGTGTCTTATTATTCATTATTCCCCTTTTCCAGGGGTGTAACATGTTCAGGTGCCCTTTTTTGAAGAAAACCTGCTGCAATATTACAAAAATGCATGCATAATAATTTTTTTATAATATCTTCATGAAAAAGGTTATTATTATTTTTAATGACATTGTTGTGCAGTGGGGAGAGTAATACAATATTGTACTATGAACCACATCGTGTTTAACACGCAAAAGTTACGTTCAATTAAATTATTTAAAAATAAACAGTAATGTTTTGACAGCTGGTAGCTGGTAGCTTTACCCGTGGAAGTTTATAGTCTGAATCGATCTCCCATGCGTTTTTGTTATCTATTTTTTATCCACACTAGTTCACTGTCTGTCAATTTTTGTTAGTGTAGACAAAGCTTTCATGCAGGATCTGGGTGCTTGCTGTGAGAAAAAAAAAAAATCAATCGATAAACGCATATGGCAAACGAAGTGCATTCAACTCGCTTCAGCGTGTATTAATGAGAGGCGCGCGCACGCGAAGGGGCGTGCGATTTGTCCGCGAGTCGGAATTCGGTACAACACCTGCTGTTTTAATACCGAAAAGACTCGTGTTTTTCTTTTACACTACGCTGAACGGTCGGTTAAGTAAGCGAGTGCCATTGACGGACAGTGACCGGAAGTGTTCCAGCCTACCATAGACAAACCGGAAATTCCATTTCCGTTGTGGTGCAACTAGTCCATTGGCTCATTTGCGTTCGAGGGGAGGGGCTTACCCGACTAACCCACACCAAACGACTGCACTTTCCTTACCCTACTACGACCCTGGTTCTCGCTCCCTGCTCGGACAGCCATGGCAGGACCTACTTTTCCCTTCCTTGACACTTTCTTTTGCCTCATCTTACCAAGCATGTGTACTCTGTAAGCTCACCACACCACAGTGACAACACAAGAAACACTGGAGATCAGAACAACAACTGATGCCCATGTCAACAAGCGCTTTGTGCAAGAAGGTTTAAAGGGTTAGTTCACCCTAAAATGAAAATTAAGTCATTAATTACTCACCCCCATGCTGTTCCAACCCCGTAAGACCTTTGTTCATCTTCGGAACACAAATAAAGATATTTTTGATTGAATCTGAGAGCTGTATCACTCTTCCATTGGCTTCCTAAGGGACTGGCTCTTGACGGCCCATAAAGTCATTAAAGAAAATGTTTAAATGTTCCATGTGCCTACAGCGGCTCAATTATAAGTTTATCAAGCGACGAGAATACTTTTTGTGCGAAAAAAACATAAATAACGGCGCGAGAACTGAGACGAGGACGATCTCCTTCGACTTGTTACCGGCTGCTCACCGCTTAGGCGTTTTACCGCCCCCTACCGTATAAGATGATGTGCTGATATAGCTTAGTGCAAATCTTTCTGTTTACAAGCAGAGGAAGATGCGCGCTGTACATACGCTTTTCAATTAGCGTATTTTCCGCACTACAAGGTGCACTTAAAAGCCTTTAATCTTCTCAAAAAACGACAGTGTGCCTTATTATCATCTTATACGGTAGAGGGCGGTAAAACTCCTAAGCAGTGAGCAGCCGGTAACAAGAAGTAGTCGAATGAGAACGTCCTCGTCTCAGTTCTCGCGCATGCGCCAATAAGGAAGTAATGGAATAGTCGAATAAAGCCGTTATTTATGTTTTTTTCGCACAAAAAGTAGTCTCGTCGCTTGATAAACTTATAATTGAGCCGCTGTAGGCACATGAAATATTTAAACATTTTCTTTAATGACTTTATGGGCCGTCAAGAGCCAGTCCCTTAGGAAGCCAATGGAAGAGTGATACAGCTCTCAGATTCAATCAAAAATATCTTCATTTGTGTTCCGAAGACGAACGAAGGTCTTACGGGGTTGGAACAGCATGAGGGTGAGTAATTAATGACTTAATTTTCATTTTTGGGTGAACTAACCCTTTAAAGACAATGCGCAGTGACCCATTATTGATCCTAACTACTGGAGAGAAACAGCGCTGTACTCAAGCATTCGCAACAAAACCGATGTATAATTTGAGCTTAATGATTTATATTCTCATAACAAACTGTCAATGTGCAAGAAGGTACCTCTCTCCTCTGTAAATTGAGCTGGTTGGTCTTGTATTTGTCTAGAGACAGCTGCAGTGTATCATCAGCTTTGTTGAGGAGATCCTGAGCTTGAAAGAGTCTGGAAGTGAATCGACTCAGCACTTCCCGCATAGGCAACAGACGCCCCTGAGTAGTCATCAGAGTTTTCTCAAAATGGCGCACACGCCGGAGCACTACAATCGGACATGTGAAGGGACAGGTTGAATAAGAGCACACACACACACAAGCAGAATTCGGTTAGAAACCAACACAAACAATCTCACATTCATGGGCCTCGGAGGACTCGTCAGTTGCAAGCGGTTCTTTGGGTGAGAGGTCCATATTTCTCATCCAGCCTAAGATCCGTTCGGCTTCTGCTATTTTCTGCAGCTTTACCTGAGGATTTAACTCCTGATGGACACCGTATAATTCCCAATCCCTAATCATATCTGAAACACATTTGCATTATGTTCATCATCTGTAATCAAGGCGAGATAAGAGAGCACTGTAGACTCAGAATACAATTGAGCCTGTAACAAATCACACAATTGAGCCTGAAACAAATCACATTGTGAGAGTTTGTGGGATTGTGAGGGTGTGGGATTGTGCTGTTAATGTGGTGACAATCTATGTTGTCCAGATATCAGTTTTTCAATTCCAGACATTTTTATTGGCAAGCAATTCACAAAGAATTACAGTGGTGTGAATAAGTTTTGGCACCCATGCTAAAGTTGCCTAAAAAGAGGAATAAAAAATCATCTTTTGGATGTTGATCTTAATGCCTTAATTAGAAAAATGAGGAAAACTCCAACCTTTAAGGACACAAATTTTCTTTGTGAATGAATAATGTATTATAAATAAATAAATGTTTTTCCTTAAAATACAGGGTGCATAAGTCAGGGCACCCCTATGTTAAATTCCCATAGAGTCAGGCAGTTTTTTATTTTTAAAAGCCAGTTATTTCATGGATCCAGGATAATATGCATCCTGATAAAGTTCCCTTGGGCTTTTGGAATTAAAATATCCCCACATCATCACACACCTTCCACCACACCTAGAGATTGGCATGGGGTACTTTCCATAAGATCACCTTTCAATGCAAATCAAACCAGCTATTAGGCTAACTGAAGTAAAACCATGCCAATCTCAAGGCATGGTGAATGATGTGTGACAATGTGGGGATATTTTAATTCCAAAGGCCAAGGGAACTTTATCAGGATGCATATTATCCTGGATCCACGAAATAACTGGCTTTTAAAAATAAAAATCTGCCTGACTCTATGGGAATTTAACATAGGGGTGCCGTGACTTATGCACCCTGTATTTTAAGGAAAAACATTTATTTATTTATGATTCATTATTCATTCACAAAGAAAATGTGTGTCCTTAAAGGTTGGAGTTTTCCTCATTTTTCTAATTAAGGCATTAAGATCAATATCCAAAAGATGATTTTTTTATTCCTCTTTTTAGGCAACTTTAGCATGGGTGCCAAAACTTATTCACACCACTGTATTTGCAACTTTTGTAAGCATTGCTCAATTGTGGTATCTCAGTGGAAGCATGCAATGATAGATTATTCTTTCTATTTCTTGTTATACTGTAGCTATACTTTCTTTCTTTTTTTGACTGACCTGTGCAAAATGCCTTTTTTAACTGTAAAATTGTATGATCTGATCAGACAATAGATGCAGTGGTTAACCAGACCATTTAGCATTTTGCATCCAGATTCAACTTTGATAACCAGACTTATGCTGCATACGGGTGACTTAATTTGGGTGAAAACATGTGAAGCCTTGTCTAATACAGGACAGTTGGCAACTTTCAGAGGGGAATCTGCTCCAGCCAAGCAAGTATCCCTGAGATACAGTACTTGATATTGGCCAGCACAGCATAAAAAAAAAAAAAAAAAAAAACAACAACACAGATTTCACAAGGTCTCATGTTACCTTCTATGAGAATATTGAGGGAAGAGAGGTTAGCAATGAGTGTATTTGCAAGCGTGGAGCTGTCAAGTGTCTCTTGATCCACCCGCTCTCCCAATGACTGCACTGATTCCTCCTGATGAAATAAAACAAACACTACCTCAGTTTCTCCAGGAAGAACATGACAAAGCACCTGTTTAAACTATTGTGAACAGTGTAGCGTGAAGGAGAGAGGAAGAGATGGATAGAATGACAAAAAGTATGTAATCTTGAAGAAATTGAAGAACTCTATTTTTGTTGTTCTTCCTCTTGTTTTAACCCCTTAACTGTCACCATCCCGGTACCGGGACACCTAGCTTTACTTCACTATATTTCTATTAAATCCTAATCTAATTATGACAAATTATATATCGTTGGAAAGGTGTAAGACTTCTAAATAGATATTCTACCCCTGTTTTGTGTTCAAAATTATGTAGGAAGAGTAATTGATGAATTTATGACAAGAGTGCACCTAAAAAAATCTGCTTCATAACAGGAGTTTTGACCTTTGTCACAAAAAGTTGATGCACCCACTTTTAATCATTGAAACTTCTGTTTTTATGCTAAAAGTTCATAATAAAACATATAATCTAGTATTTTTCAATAAAAAATAAAAATATATAGTATAATATTATCCTCTAAAAATGATAATATTTATATTTATTATCCTCTAAAATATAATATAATTTTTTTTATCGCTTTTTTATTATATCACATATTTTAGTAGTTATCATAAATTAGGTATCATTTGAAAGCTTATAAACTCAGAATTCATAGTGTGAACTGTTTTATAATTGAACGTTGCGTTACCATAGAAACGGTACTTGTTTTATCAGGCTTCTCCCCTTTTGGGCGTCATTATATTTCATAATTTATGATCAAAACCTTTTCTAATCTTGACGAAATTGATATTGTCAGAAAGGTCTGAGTCTCAAGGTTCCAAATTTTGTGACAGAATTGATATTTGGACAGAAATGTATTAATTTGTTAAGGCAGAATGTATACAACTAAATTCAATGGAATTCAATGGCACCCGGTGGCTATTTTTGGTACTACGCCTAAACAAAATCTCATGGGAACTTCAATTTTTGTGATATCAACTTCAAATTTGGAACATAACTTGATAAGATTTATGGCTTTGATTTTATAGAAATTTTAGAGTAAAAAATATTTTGTAAAATATATATTTTATATAAAATAAAAAATATATAGTACAGTATATTTGATTTACTGTAAATTTAAACTTCCATAACTTTTTCACTTAGAAAGTGTAAGTAAATGTAGTAAATACAGGTAGTTATAAAGCATTTAGTAGTGGTTAGTTAACTATTTTTGTGAGCTAATCTAAAGTGAGGACTATTCGTGCTTTGTAAAGCATTTAAATGAGATTTAAAGACTCGTCAATCTTCTAAACAGTAAAATGTAACAAACACAACGCAGTGATACTGAACATAGAAATATTTAACAGCCTTTACAAGGCATGACTAGTCCTCACTTTAGATGAGCTCACGAACATAGTTAACTGACCACTACTAAATGCTTTATAACTGCCTGAATTAACCCTGAATGAAAGCATACATGTTAATAAAGCATTTATTAACACACTAAGTAACCATCATGTCTGAATGATAAGCTGTATGAATGTACATTTAAATAGTTTATTAATCATTTACTTACACACTCTAAGTAATCTCACGAACCATTGACAACTCTCAAATAACTGGTTCATAAAAAATGCAATTCTTCATTTAGAAATGATAAATTGATCATTAATAAAGGATGAAAATACAATTATTTAACCAAATTATAGATATGCTTTTAAATCAAGAAGAAAGTATTTATAGCTGTATTTATGAACTGTTTATTTATGAATGATGAATTAATGGTTTACTCATACTTAACTAATTATTATTAGCGTGTAGTTATTATAAAGTGTTACCAAAAAATGTTTTACCTTGGTAATCTTTAATCAAAATCTGAAAAGTTACTTCCGGTCTGGAACGGTTTCTTTTTCTGATGACGTAGGTTTCACAGCTTGGGTGGGGAAACGCTTAACCACTCCCCTCAAACCGTTAGTTTGCTATGAGCGAGAGATGGAGAGGAGGAGCGCTAGAGTAAAACCCTGCCCTCTGTTCAATATTCCGTTTCACTTGGAAATACGTCACAGCACTGGAGAAAAAATCGTTTGCAACTTCCGGTTCACGGGGACTTTAATGTGTTCAAAATGACTTATAATTATTAACTTTATGAATATACAGTAGTCAACATTTGAAGTGGATTAAAACCTTTCGTTGTAATTTTGAACAATACCTGTTCTTGTCTGAGGACAACTTTGATGGACTTTTTTGATCCACTTCAAATGTCGACTACTGTAGTTGTGGTTTTACAGTGGTCACACACTTCACATCTAAACCATATTGAAATCAATGAAAGCTAGAAAGCGTGTCACCTCTCCTGCGAGCAGTTCCATGTCAGTAAGTCGTTTTTGAGTTTCTTCCTCCAGGTGTCCCGTATCTGCTCTCATCACTGTATACTTACTTCTCCAGCCTACAAACTGAGCCTGTGAGAGCAACACACACTCTTGTTTAAACACCACATCCTCTGGGCGTAAGTTTCTCTAAGCGAGGTGCAGTTTGAGTGTTGTTACCTGTAGTCTGTGTGCAGTGTAGTTGTAGTACTTTAATCTGTCGTTGGCCGCAGCTCCTGTAGAAATGTTCAGCACGCTGTTCCTAACTTGGTCCAAGGTTTTGTTGGACTGACGAATATCTCCAATCAGATTCCAAATACACGCATCGCAGTCTGGGAGGTGGTAAGGGTTATTGTTCATATTGAGTTATCACATTTTTGAATGTTTATACGATTTTCTGAACAATTCTCAGTTTTTAATTTGATGTAAATGTTTACTTGCTTGAAAGATCAAATCTAAATGGTGCTTGTTTGTGTAAGTTGTGGGGCTCAAAAGTCAAAGTCTACAATGCTTTGATCCCTCTGAAAAAATAATCAATTACTCTCTATATTACTAATTTTCTAAAATAACATTATAAGTGAACCTTGAGGAACATATTAACAAATTCAAAAATGGCATGTCAATGTTATTTCCCTTTAAATGGCAATAAAACTTCAGATTTTAAATGTGGTCTTGGACGTTTGGATATTGTTTGAATTAGTGTTTTCTCTTGAACTCACCGATATTACACTCGCTGATTTGCGAGGCCTCGGGAAGACACTCTCCTGTGTGCATGTCACAATTCTCCTCTGGGCAATCACATTCTGAGGAACACACAGTGCACATTATACATTAAAACACACATCCAAAGCAACTACACAACCGTGATCACAAACAAAAGGCCTTTTCATACTTGGAATAGGTAAAGTTAAGATGAAACGGAAGTAGCGACAAATCTTCCATATTGTGAACCCTTACGAAAAAGAAGTTTATTCAAGTGTGCCATTAGTATACTTCTTTTAAACTAAAAATAAGAAAGTATACTTTCAGTTTATTTTTCCTGTACTTCAGAAGTATACTATATGTACTTCTCAGAAATATACTTCAAATTACACTTAAGTGTACTTGACTTATACTGAGAGAAAAGCAAGTATATTTGTCCTGTTCTTGTACTCAATCTTTTGATAAAGAAATACTTAAAAGTATAATTAACTATTCAAAGTATACTTGTATAAGTATTACAGTAAAAAAGTAAACTACTAGTATACCCATAAATTCACTTGCAGTACACATTAGATACATAATTATGAACTAGTTGTGCACTTACTGTTACACTGATAGTACACTTAAATGTATACTTTTATGTACTAAAAGTGGGCCAATTTAGTCCCAAGCGGTATTAAAATAGTAGCCTACACTTACAAGTTTACTACTAGTACATAGTGACATTAGTATACTTACTACCTAATGTATACTTAAAATATACTTGAACATTACTTAAGTATACTACATAAAATGAACTTGAAATATACTTCTTTTTCGTAGGGGAAGTAATGTTTCTTAACCCACGGAAAAATGCGTTGCTGATCCCCAATCTAAATGAAATGTTCCTTTACTCAAGGATAAAAGTGAGGTTTAGAGACGAGGTTTATAATGCAATGAAAAGCCCAAAAGTACATTGCACAACTGGGTCAGCATGTTACAAATTGATTTACACTCTTAATTTTAAGAAATAGACAAAAACTTAAATTATATACATTTTTGAGACACACCAGTTGTCACTAATGCACTCTAAGCAGCTGGGGTTCAACTGAAACATTTCCCCAAAAGAGCAATCGGAACAAATTGACTGCATTTACTAGAAATAAACTTCAGCAAAGATGCCCTCATTTCTCTCTCTTTTCAACACACTGACATGAACTCAAAACTTCCAGGGGTCACAACTGGGGCCGGTATGTTGAGATAGAGATGATGATGTCATGAGAAATAATGTAAATCCCTGTTCTTATGTGCAGATGGCCAAGTGTGTGTGGGTGTGCAGATCCCTTAATGAAATCAAGACCGACGGGTTGTGAGAACAGCTGTTCAACTGTTCTGCTCAGGACAAGGACCTTTTGCCAGATGGAAAGAGGTGCTGCAGTCAACAGGAAAACTGCCATGACGGTGCTGTTTAAATTACTTAAAACTGTTGCTAAGTGAAGATTTTATTGCTGATTGTTAGCTGTTGACTACTTTCATTATAGAGGTTTAGGTGAGGTTCTTTTTAAAGGAGAACTCCGGTGCAAAATGAACCTTTGGTCTTATAAAACATCGGCACCTAGTCGACCATTCTCTGAGATTTGTTTTCATGATAATCAAATGTAAAGGGTTTTATCTCTAAAAACTGTTTTGCGTATAATGCTAGTACTGGGGGAATTTACTAAATAAAAAGAAATCGCTAGTTTATACCACTAACAAGGCTCAAAATAGCCCCACACTAACACAGTAACATAATGAGGGTCACTGCATGCAAAACGAACCATTGAGAACTTTGTAAGTGTTCAGACCGTTGAATAAGAAGATACTTTACACTGTTAGACCTTACCAGGTTTTTTACAGTAAAATACTGGCAACACTGTTGCCAGTAATTTACTGTAAAAATGCACTAAGACTCAAGTTAACTAAAAAATACAACTTATTAGTTTTAGTGCATTTTTACAGTCAATTACTGGCAACACTGTTGCCAGTATTTTACAGTAAAAAACCTGGTAAGGTCTAACAGTGTATAAAGACAGTTCACTTTGTGTATATATGATCTGAACTGTATGAAGTTCAGCGAACTTCTGAACTGTATGAACGGCGTTTGTGGTTCGGCTTATCGAGACTTACTTGTCTGTATACACGAAGTGAAATGTCTTTATAAAGTATCTTCTTATTAAACGGCCTGTACACTTACAAAGTTCTCAATGCTTCGTTTTGCATGTATGGAGCCTCATTATGTTACTGTGTTAGTGTGGGGCTATTTTGAGCCTTGTTAGTGGTATAAACTAGCGATTTTTTTTTTACTTAGTAAATGCTCCCAGTATTAGCATTATATGCTAAACAGTTTTTAGAGATAAAACTCTTTACATTCGATTATCATGAAAACAAATCTCAGCGAACGGTTGACTAGGTACCGATGTTTTATTAGACCAAAGGATCATTTTGCACCGGAGTTCTCCTTTAAGTCAGAGTTTGGTTGAGGAGTCTTTTTTAAACAATGAAATATGGCTTTTAAAACCAAGTGTCACAGCCTTAAATATTTAAGTTTTATAAAATAACTACTTACTCTTGTTCATACTGAATCCAAAAATTTGTATTATGTAATGTTATTATTTGTTTGTATTCATAATCATTTGTAATCATTGTATTTTGTTAATCAGTGTTCTTGAATATGAGTGAGGGAGACAGGAAGTGTGTGTGCAGGAAGAGTTGGAGACATGGAATGTGTGCAATAAATAAAAGAGATCCCTTGGCAAAATAACTGGTCCTGAGAATTAAACAACAAATGGGAAAAAACTTACATTTTTTAATCTACAATATTGTATTGATGATGTGAAGCATGTTAGTAATGAAACATGACACATCAGTATATGCACTGCCCTGTATGGAAGAATTTTTGTATAAGACAATAGGCAGTGAAATGTGCTGAACCTCCTCCAGCCGTGAATCAAGCCATATGCGGTTTTTAACAGACTCACTCTTGCAGCCGGATGTGCTGTAATCCCAGAATCCTGGCAGGCATCGCTCGCAGTATCGGCCTCCAGCCCCCGGGTGGCACTGGCAGCTGTGTGTGAGAGGGTGGCAGGTGCCACGCAGGGCAGCAGAGGCACATTCACACCGACGGCATCCCATACAGCTGCCAAAGCCAGAGTAACCCTCCTACACATTCAAAATGCGAAGATTCTCAAGAAAAATTGCATATTAAATGTGCTCAGTCAGTGTGCATATGCGTTTATTTGGGTTTAGACGCATTTTAAGAAATAGAGACTGATCATGGAGTTTCTGGGCCAATACAAAAAATACTCAACCACTTTTTAAGGCAGATACAAAAAAAACAATCATTGTAATTTTGCGTTTGAACCATTTCAACTGTCGGTGTTAGTAAATTAATTTAAAAAGTACATTTTAAACCAAAGACTTTACAACAAATATATATTTGCAATATTTGCAATTTATATCTATTACACAAAGTGAATGTGCAGTTGTTGCTTTAAAGCTGCAGTCCGCAGTTTGTCCTCTCTGTCGCCATCTCTGTTCGAAATCTGCAATTGCAGTTATTTGTGGAATTATCAACTTTACGTGAGTTCTACTTCAACACCCTCGACACAGCACAGTGTGGATGAACACAATGTTTTGAGGAGAGTGTGTGGCTGTCGGTCACCGCGCCGGTGTGGATATTGTCATTCAGAATCACAGATTAATCTTTTTGGAAGTATGACCGACATAAAAGTTTTCACCGCAAAATGTCATCTGAACAAGTAAGAAATATTCACTTTTGTTCTAGTTCTGATAATTGCAGTAAATCGCGCTTATTCAATCTAACAATCATTTATCATATCACGCAAAACCATGCAAATTATACTTTGTTCTCAAATTGTTACTGTTAACAACGTCAGCATTGCGTGACTACTTGTAATGCCCTTCCGATTTTATCGTTTTATTGTTTTCGCATGGGTCATCATCCTCACAGATGTGACGTAATGACTAGCCGAGACTCTTCTTAATGTGTGCAGATGTGACGTAATGACTCAATATAGCCTACTAGCCGAGACTCTTCTTAATATGTACAGATGTGACGTAATGACTCAATATAGCCTACTAGCCGAGACTCTTCTTTATGAGTACAGATGTGACGTAATGACTCAATATAGCCTACTAGCCGAGACTCTTCTTAATATGTACAGATGTGACGTAATGACTCAATATAGTCTACTAGCCGAGACTCTTCTTTATGAGTACAGATGTGACGTAATGACTCAATATAGCCTACTAGCCGAGACTCTTCTTAATATGTACAGATGTGACGTAATGACTCAATATAGCCTACTAGCCGAGACTCTTCTTTATGAGTTCAGATGTGACGTAATGACTCAATATAGCCTAATAGCTGAGACTCGTCTTTATGTGTACAGATGTGACGTAATGACTCAATATAGTCTACTAGCCGAGACTCTTCTTTATGAGTACAGATGTGATGTAATGACTCAATATAGCCTACTAGCCGAGACTCTTCTTTATGAGTACAGATGTGACGTAATGACTCAATATAGCCTACTAGCCGAGACTCTTCTTTATGAGTACAGATGTGACGTAATGACTCAATATAACCTAATAGCCGAGACTCGTCTTTATGTGTACAGAAGTGACGTAATGACTCAATATAGCCTAATAGCCGAGACTCTTCTTTATGAGTACAGATGTGACGTAATGACTCAATATAGCCTACTAGCCGAGACTCTTCTTTATGAGTACAGATGTGACGTAATGACTCAATATAGCCTACTAGCCAAGACTCTTCTTTATGTGTACACATGTGACGTAATGACTCAATATAGCCTAATAGTCGAGACTCTTCTTTATGAGTACAGATGTGACGTAATGAGTCAATATAGCCTAATAGCCGAGACTCATCTTTATGAGTACAGATGTGACGTAATGACTCAATATAGCCTAATAGCCGAGACTCGTCTTTATGTGTACAGATGTGACGTAATGACTCAATATAGCCTAATAGCCGAGACTCGTCTTTATGTGTACAGATGTGACGTAATGACTCAATATAGCCTAATAGCCGAGACTCGTCTTTATGTGTACAGATGTGACGTAATGACTCAATATAGCTCATACTAGCCGAGACTCTTCTTTATGTGTACAGATGTGACGTAATGTCTCAATATAATTTACTAGCCCAGATTCTTCTTTATGTGTACAGATGTGACGTAATGACTCAATGTAGTCTACTAGCCGAGACTCGTCTTTATGTGTACAGATGTGACGTAATAACTCAATATAGTCTACTAGTCGAGACTCTTCTTTATGAGTACAGATGTGACGTAATAACTCAATATAGTCTACTAGCCGAGACTCTTCTTTATGTGTACAGATGTGACGTAATGACTCAATATAGTCTACTAGCCAAGACTCTTCTTTATGAGTACAGATGTGACGTAATGACCAGCCAAAACTCTTCTTAATGTGTGCAGATGTGACGAATTGACTCAATATAGCCTACTAGCTGAGACTCTTCTTAATGTGTACAGATGTGACATAATGACTCAATATAGCCTACTAGCCGAGACTCTTCTTTATGAGTACAGATGTGACGAATTGACTCAATATAGCCTACTAGCTGAGACTCTTCTTAATGTGTACAGATGTGACGTAATGACTCAATATAGCCTACTAGCCGAGACTCTTCTTAATGTGTACAGATGTGACGTAATGACTCAATATAGCCTACTAGCCGAGACTCTTCTTTATGAGTACAGATGTGATGTAATGACTCAATATAGCCTACTAGCCGAGACTCTTCTAAATGTGTACAGATGTGACGTAATGACTCAATATAGCCTACTAGCCGAGACTCGTCTTTATGTGTACAGATGTGACGTAATGACTCAATATAGCCTAATAGCCGAGACTCATCTTTATGTTTACAGATGTGACGTAATGACTCAATATAGCCTAATAGCCGAGACTCATCTTTATGAGTACAGATGTGACGTAATGACTCAATATAGTCTACTAGACGAGACTATTCTTTATGAGTACAGATGTGACGTAATGACTCAATATAGCCTAATAGCTGAGACTCGTCTTTATGTGTACAGATGTGACGTAATGACTCAATATAGTCTACTAGCCGAGACTCTTCTTTATGAGTACAGATGTGATGTAATGACTCAATATAGCCTACTAGCCGAGACTCTTCTTTATGAGTACAGATGTGACGTAATGACTCAATATAGCCTACTAGCCGAGACTCTTCTTTATGAGTACAGATGTGACGTAATGACTCAATATAACCTAATAGCCGAGACTCGTCTTTATGTGTACAGAAGTGACGTAATGACTCAATATAGCCTAATAGCCGAGACTCTTCTTTATGAGTACAGATGTGACGTAATGACTCAATATAGCCTACTAGCCGAGACTCTTCTTTATGAGTACAGATGTGACGTAATGACTCAATATAGCCTACTAGCCAAGACTCTTCTTTATGTGTACACATGTGACGTAATGACTCAATATAGCCTAATAGTCGAGACTCTTCTTTATGAGTACAGATGTGACGTAATGAGTCAATATAGCCTAATAGCCGAGACTCATCTTTATGAGTACAGATGTGACGTAATGACTCAATATAGCCTAATAGCCGAGACTCGTCTTTATGTGTACAGATGTGACGTAATGACTCAATATAGCCTAATAGCCGAGACTCGTCTTTATGTGTACAGATGTGACGTAATGACTCAATATAGCCTAATAGCCGAGACTCGTCTTTATGTGTACAGATGTGACGTAATGACTCAATATAGCTCATACTAGCCGAGACTCTTCTTTATGTGTACAGATGTGACGTAATGTCTCAATATAATTTACTAGCCCAGATTCTTCTTTATGTGTACAGATGTGACGTAATGACTCAATGTAGTCTACTAGCCGAGACTCGTCTTTATGTGTACAGATGTGACGTAATAACTCAATATAGTCTACTAGTCGAGACTCTTCTTTATGAGTACAGATGTGACGTAATAACTCAATATAGTCTACTAGCCGAGACTCTTCTTTATGTGTACAGATGTGACGTAATGACTCAATATAGTCTACTAGCCAAGACTCTTCTTTATGAGTACAGATGTGACGTAATGACCAGCCAAAACTCTTCTTAATGTGTGCAGATGTGACGAATTGACTCAATATAGCCTACTAGCTGAGACTCTTCTTAATGTGTACAGATGTGACATAATGACTCAATATAGCCTACTAGCCGAGACTCTTCTTTATGAGTACAGATGTGACGAATTGACTCAATATAGCCTACTAGCTGAGACTCTTCTTAATGTGTACAGATGTGACGTAATGACTCAATATAGCCTACTAGCCGAGACTCTTCTTAATGTGTACAGATGTGACGTAATGACTCAATATAGCCTACTAGCCGAGACTCTTCTTTATGAGTACAGATGTGATGTAATGACTCAATATAGCCTACTAGCCGAGACTCTTCTAAATGTGTACAGATGTGACGTAATGACTCAATATAGCCTACTAGCCGAGACTCGTCTTTATGTGTACAGATGTGACGTAATGACTCAATATAGCCTAATAGCCGAGACTCATCTTTATGTTTACAGATGTGACGTAATGACTCAATATAGCCTAATAGCCGAGACTCATCTTTATGAGTACAGATGTGACGTAATGACTCAATATAGTCTACTAGACGAGACTATTCTTTATGAGTACAGATGTGACGTAATGACTCAATATAGCCTACTAGCCGAGACTCTTCTGTATGTGTACAGATGTGACGTAATGACTCAATATAGCCTAATAGCCGAGACTCATCTTTATGAGTACAGATGTGACGAATTGACTCAATATAGCCTACTAGCTGAGACTCTTCTTAATGTGTACAGATGTGACGTAATGACTCAATATAGCCTACTAGCCGAGACTCTTCTTAATGTGTACAGATGTGACGTAATGACTCAATATAGCCTACTAGCCGAGACTCTTCTTAATGTGTACAGATGTGACGTAATGACTCAATATAGCCTACTAGCCGAGACTCGTCTTTATGTGTACAGATGTGACGTAATGACTCAATATAGCCTAATAGCCGAGACTCATCTTTATGTGTACAGATGTGACGT